GAAATATCATACTACCATTCACTTTCAGATAAAAAAATCATAAGCATTGTACATTCATGCCCAAATATAACCCATTTAAGTTTCATAAATAGCATGGGATTTATTAATAAAGCATTAGAACTGATAGTGGGTTCATACCTGAATCTGAAGTATCTCAATCTGTACGATGATCAGTCAGGTGGTTTTAGAGGCTTTCGTGCTTGAGAAGTAGATGATAAAGGTCTAACTACAATCGCAAATTCATGTCATAAATTAGAATATCGAAATATTTCTAATCGCACAGAGTTTTCTGAAATATTAATTTGTAATGTTATTCATTCTTGTCTAAGATTCCAACGACTTGATCTTAGCTATTGTAAAATTACTGATAAAACTATCGAAGAAATGTCTAAATCAAGTCTTAATTTAAAATATCTAAATCTGAAAGGAGTCAGAGGTTTTCATATAAATGATGATATTTTTAATGACACTCCTACTTGCTTAATAGAGATGTTTCTTAACTAAGCTGTGAAAAGAGCATTAAAAGGCAAAAAAATAATAGCTAAACCTTTTGTCAAACATAGAAGACCAGTTAGTTATAATGAATTATTTTACCTAGCTATATTGAAGTTTATTATCTCTTAAAACTAATGAATTAGAAGGTTGAAAAAAAAGAGCAACTGATTGCAATTAGTTTCCTGAAATCTTTATGATTGATTTATATTTGATAAAAGAAAATCAACCAGTTCTCTATAAACTTTATAATAGTTCTAAGCGTTTTTTTGTAAAAGAAGAGCTAAATCCAAATACCTATGTCAAGAATTACCAGGATTCGAATAATATTCAAGTTGAAATAGAGCGAGTGATAGAACAATAATTAAAACGGGCTTCAGATAATAATATTGGACCTCAGTTTCACCAGTCATTCTGACAACCTAATTCCAATATTTTTATGACAGTCAATTCTAATGCTGATCACCCTATTATAGCTATAAACAGACAACCACTGAGAAATTATTTTGATAGAATACTAGTTGGTCAAGTAGGATGGTGGAACTTTACTGATCTAACTAATCCAGAACAGTGATCATTAGCTTAGAAGATTTTTTTCACATCTAGATATGTCCGGTGTAAAAAAAAATATAAATTAGCTAACCTGTTCTAGATACTAGATGGATTTTTGATGAATATTTCATGCAATTGTTGAGGAGAGACCTTCGGAAATAATGGTAGTCTCCCTCCAGTATACCAAATTTTCTTTACTCTTACTTCGTAATATTTCTCTAATATTACATTTGGAATATCTTCTAAGGGGCCATGGTATTCTTTAAACTTTCGAAGATATTCTCTTACGGTTTTATTGGCCTCTTCTGCCATTTCTTGATTAGTGTAGCCAACAATATTAAGTTCTTCTTGAATTGCTATTATATCCTCTTCTAAATACATAAGCAAATTAAATATCTCCTTTAATGAAATATCTGTGGAAGCTTCATTACTTTGATATTCCATTTCTAAAACAGGATTACCATCAATGTTGAGATTCTCTTATATTAGCATTAAATCCTCTACCAATTTTAACAATAGCTCATATGAATCGGCAAGTGATTTCTACCTTTTTGCTTCAATGTATACCATTTGATTTGCATTATCACTAATGTTGAGTTTTTTCTGAATAGCTATTATATCCTTCTTCTTATATAATAGCACTTCATATAATTGATTAAGCGTTTTGGAATTATTTGCCATAATTGCTATAATAAAGTAATATATTTAATGTGAAAAATTTTGAGTCTGGAATACAGATCATCATCACAGAGCAGTAATCATCAGCTCAGAAGAATTTGCTGATCCATGCACAGCGCCTGTCTCTTCATTTTTTCTGATTAAAAAATCCTGATAACTATTCACCTTCTCTTGTATCTTTGATACTGCAGGAAATAGCTAACTCTATTTGCTTACCCTATTAGTTTATTGAGATAGCTTTTTATTTTTCGAGCTGAATTTATGAGAAAAAAGGATTTTTGATCGAAAGGGGTATTTTTCCAATTTTGAATACTAACATATAGAGTATAAAAATAATTATTGTTTCAATATAGGCAATGCAATCTGAAATAAATTTATTGAGACAACAGATTATTGAGCTTGAAGCTGAAAATGCCAAAATCCCTTATCTTAAAAATAAGCTTTCAGTGACTGATGCTGAAATAGCTGAACTTAAGCGCAGGAATGCTGAGTTTCTAAGAGCGATTGAGGAAGAGAGAATGAGGCATGTTATTGAGAATACCAAGTTTAAAGCTAGGAAAGCTGAGTTTTTAAAGTCTACCAAAAAATATTACACAGATTTTGATGGTTATATAGTAAAATTAATTCGCAATACCCAAACCATCTTGAGAGTATTGAAGCTTTAATTCTTGAGATCAAGGTCCAGAATGCAAAGAATAAATTAATTATAGAAGAATATGAAAAAGAACTGGAATTCAAGAAAAATCGCAAATTTTAGACTAGATACATCCAGACAGCTAAGGAAATTCTTCATGAGGAGCCGATAATTGAGTATCACCTCCCTTCTTGAATGGATTGAAGCTTGATGCCTTCTTTCAAAAACATCAAATTGCATTGGAGATGCAAAGAGCTCAGCATCAGTTTCATAGCATCAGCTAATATAAAGATGTCAAAAAACTTGAGGATATCATTAATTGTAATTAGTAAAAATGATGCATTTGTCAAGATAATGGAATCTTCCTTCTCGAAGTGTGGTATGATCAAAATCCAGAAGTTGTTATTTCTGAAAGGATATGAAAAATTAAGGAGTTCGTCAATCAAGCATCCAAAAGTTTCGATCTCCTACCTACATAATCAAATGAATTGTTCATATTGGGCTCGTGATTTTTAATCATGTATGCTAAATGTGGGATGTATTTGGAAAGTGTACATATGCATCAGAAAAATGCTAATTCTTCCAAAATGACAATTCATGTATACTAAAAAAATCACATTTATTTACAGCAATAAGAGATTACAAGTTTTTTCTATTGAGAATTACAGTATATACGCAAAATACATATTAAAAATTAAATGAATTTAAGCAGTTTCTTTTCTTTGAGAATATTATACATGAAATATATAATAAAAAATTAATATACAAAATGGATTAAATGGTTTTTTTTCTTAGACAATGTATAGAGCAATTCAAACATTGCTTTTTTTTTGTGATCTCTCCTATATAATTAATAAAATAAATAAAGCAAAGTTAGTATTTTTAAAATATAATTTGTTTATTATATACAGTATACATCTTCATTTGGACTGGATTGGTCATACTCTAAGGGTATATTCAAAGTGAACGGACTTGGAGAGTATTGAAGGTAATGATAACGATCGTGAAGGAGGAGATATTGGTGATAGTAGTGATCAAGAAGTTGAAAGTAATGATGATATTTGTGAAGCATATAGATATTATTATAAGTATACACATTTATTTATAGAATCTGTAAACTAATATTTAGTTATACTTATAGGTTTATTTCTTTGGCGTTTTCTTGTCTGAGAACCTATATAATAATTAACCCGTTATTTATTTTGGGAAGATTTACGGGTTAAGATAGGTGCTGTTCTTTTTTTTCTTTTTCTATTATTTTATTCATTCTCTTCCAGATCTAAAGATACATTATTAAGCTGAATTAGAGAATTATCAGTTTCCAATCTTCTTATCGTAGGGATACGAAATGCCTATCATCAGTTTTCTCAAAATAAACTCATCTGTTTTGAAGAATATCAGCTTGTTTTCGTGTTGAGCGGGTGCTAAACTTAATGTCAGTATTATCATAATAGCCATCATTTGTGTACTTAATAGAAGAAACATACATGAATTCTGATATTGGAGTGATTTCACTACTGTTAATTATTGAATGATAACTATTCTGTTTGACATTATCAACATGTTTGAATGTTGACATACTAGATCTATTTTCTTCATTATTTTGGGAGTAATTGCTTTTTCCGTTCATATCATGAAAATTATCTGTCATATAATACACACTTTTCATTTGGTTTTGGATGGATCTCTGAGAATTAGAACTACCCATAACAACATCAAAAAATTTATTGTCTTTATTAAGTCCAGGTTCACTGATTCCTAAAAAATAATTTTCACCAGTACTATCTTTTTTTGAGAATATTTCAGAATTCTTGAGCTCGTCTTTTTTCATTTTTATTTTTTTGTTTATTTCAGAAAACGCATAAAGAATACGTTGTCTTTCTGCCTCATATTCTGAAATATCTTGTTTCAAATTCAGAAGAACAATTCAAAGCATCAGAAATAATATTAAATGACTTGATAAATAAATGCGAAATAAGCAGATTTACTTACTATTTCATACTCCTTAATAATATTGTTCCAGTAATCTTTTAAACTTTTTGAAAAACATATTCGTTCCAACTTAATCTATTATAAAAAAGCATTGTTAACAATGTGTGATTTTTTTTATTTAGTGATAAAGGAAGATGCTTAGCAAATTTCTCCTCTAAAATTAGCAGACCTTTACTAACAACAAAGTTAAGATGCCTGAATAGAATGCTTGGAGTGGTTACCAAGTTAGCCTATCCGGTAATTTTCCTAAATCAACTGGAGCCAATTAGGAGTTACCTCCCCTTTGCAAAATAAAAAAAAACATACCTTATCTTCTAAAACCAAGAAATTTTCTTGGTCTACAATCCTTTCCGCTTCTTTAATGAAATTTCATGCCCAAATGTCATTGAGTTTTCAGAAGATAATGAAGTAATAGAATCAATGGAGGTAAAAATGATCTCGCGGTTTAGTTTAAGAAATCTTTGATACGATATATTTGATTGATTTCTTAAATAATTTACGAGAGCTAGAAAGTTGAAAATTAGTTAGAAACCAAATTTTTACTAAGTCAAATTGTAAAGTTATAGGACTTACTATCATAACCAATATATGTTTGTTGAATTTCTCCTTCTCTAACATTTTTTCTGCATTTATCTTGTTCAGACATCTTTTATAATATTATTATTTGAGAATAAAAAGAATGGGTAACCACCAAAAATGCCTTTATATATAATATTATACCTGACCTAATCGCGTCTATGATTACGAATGACGATACGTGCAGGTGTCAATATGTATTTACTGCGCCTGAACAGGTTGCACAGTGGTATAGAAAAAAACGCCTATATTTTTTTTATCTCATGATGACCATAATAGTGATGACGATGTTGATAAACAGCTTTCGAGAAGGAAAAGGCTAGGATAGAGAAAGAAAGGCAGAACAAAACGTCATCAAATGTAGTTATACCAGCTAAATAACTATGATGATGATGATATGTATTTTGATGAGATGAATGATGTAGAAAGGAGGATATCTTTAAGACCATCTGTTAATACGGACGATGACAACTCCAATTAAATAGATGTCTCTGATTCTAGCGATTCTAAAGAAGGGATGCTAGATGAATCGGACTCATATAATGATGATAAATATGTGGATACGATGATTAGGGTAATCATAATAGAGGTTATTATTATCATGACAGAAGATACAAAAGGAAAGTCTCACCAATGACGAGTCCCATCATCTCTCCAGTAACCACCTAGAAGAAAGATTGGGTATAACATACTGGTTATTACTTCGTTCTTTTTTTTCAAATCATGTGGGTAACTTAGATATTGTGCGCAATAAAACATCATCCATACTTCTCTGCAGTCGCCCCTGATTCTTCTTCATATGAATAAATGATCACCTGAAATGCGCAGTATGATTTCGGAAAAATTCTTGCTAAAGAATGAGGCTGTGTGATATATATATCGCATATATATTCATATTATTTTTTTTCACCTAAGCTAATATCTCCTATAAAAACTATATTAGACACGAATATCTGGCTTCAGGAAATGAGGCACTTACGTTGGCGGACAAAGTCAAGAAATATGATATAGCTGGACTTATTAATTTTTTGCAAGGTCAAGAAGAGTTAGGACTTAGTGAGACGGCTCTCAGAATTTTAGAAAATGAAGATATTAATGGCTATGCCTTCCTTAAGGTAAAAGAAGAAAAGCTTCATAGTTATGGCATGAAGGGTGGACCTGCGTCAGTTCTTGTGGACTTCGTTAAGAAGTGTAAGGAGAAAAGAAGTGTTCGTATTCCTTGTACCAGATCCAGAAAAACTTGAAAGAAGTATTAGTGAAACACTGTATTGATGGTAATAGAATAGGCACCATTCGATAATTTTTACCAGATAAGTTTTGAAGTTACTTACCTGTCTGTTTCTCCAGAATTACATACGCAAATATTAACTATTTTATTCTATTTCTAAGTGTTTGGAGAATACTTCGATTATATCTATGGAGTCGTGACGATAGGTATATGCACAGCAGGTCACGCTTTCAGCTAACTTTTTCGCTGCCGAGGATTTATGCTTGCTCAGAATAATACTAACTACTCCCTTTTAATTATTAGCTACAGAGTGGTATTTTATCCTATATTTCTCAGATAGGATTTCCTGCACAAATAAGAACCTGCTTAATATTAGGTTTACAGAGTCTGTCTTGAAAGAAGGTTCAGAAGAGGAACAAGAATTGCGAAAAAAAATGTGAAGCAGATAATGAAGGTCATAATTGGGTTATTGAAAGATAAGGTTGATGTAGAGAAGAAGCCAGCGATGAAGAAACAGCGGGTTCAAGGGTTTTTCGAAAATAATCTTGTTTAATAGTATAGAGATGATATGTACTTGAAAATTCAAATTTTGTATTTATTTTTAGCGGTCCATTTAGGATCAGGCTCATTGTAATGCAAATATGCAAATAAAAAAAGTTTAGGGTACTAAGTGACCCGAGCAATATAGTCAAATATAAATATATATTTTTTCTTGTGTGAGAGGTGATTGGTATGATTCCTCTGGAATCTACATACTAATTTTTTATTACTTAAGCGTATATGCATATTAATATAGAAAATCTGGATCAACATATTATTGGCTAATATGATTTTCAGCGAAGATCTAGGTTTTGCGATGATCAACTACAGTAAGGTCTTAATTATAAAAACTGGATGTATTGGAAGAGAATAGTTTCTAATAAGAAAAACAATCAAACCAAATAACTTTCGCGCATTTACAATCGAAACAAAATTTTGCGCATACTCTCAAAAACTAACAATCTCACTTGAACCAATTTCTCAAAATGCTTTCAAACTCTGATATGTTTTTGATCGTACTCTTTAGCATCGTAATTATAATCTATGAGATGCTAACCTGGGGTGTTCTAATAATAGAGATACTCCAAGGCATTTTTTCAGGGAATGCCAAACTTGAAAAAACGATATTGACGATAAATAATGAATTATCTGATCAAATGGGCAGGATTTGGCGCAGTATATCAACTGGTAATGAAATCATATGCTGAATTCTTGGAGTTTGGTGCAGTATCGCATACTGGCAATAAAAAAATCAAAACATTTTTATTATAACGCATTAAGCAAGATGGAATGGAATATTATGAACCATAGCAGTAAGTATAAATCGGGTCAAAAAGTGCTTTGCTAAATACTGCATTGCTTATTTTTTTTACCACAGTTACTAATCCCCGAATTTGTGCTATCGTTTCGAAATTACTCAATATCAAGAAAGTTCTCTTGCAGGGAATGTTATTTTACATAGTCTGTGTGGGTGGGAGATATATAATTAGTCAAAAATTCTATAGATATAGGTGGGATAATTTATTTCAGAAGTCTAGTGTAGTAAAAGAGTGTGAGACAAGAAACAAATTAGCTATAAATTTTTTCAAAAACTTGAGAAATAAAATTGATGCTGAGACTCTCATTTTATGGCCTAGGATCTGAGTACTCCCTCCCTCTTTGAAGCATCATATATTTCTCTCGCTATCTCTAATTATTTATACGTATTTGGAAAATCAATAAAATTTTGCAAAAGTAATTGACGTTACAAATTATAATGCGCACATGATTAAAAATTTTGCATCCGAACTTGTTTTTTTCATATCAAGATTTGATGTTATGATATTAACTCTCTTTGTGGAAATATTAACGTGATGTAATCGAACTGTGACAAATAAAATCTATTTTAGAAGCAGTACTGACTCAACATCATTTCTGAACGAAATAATGTTCACTAACAATAAACCTAAAATGGTAAGGAAGTTAATATTTTCATTTTTTTGCATTGTCTGACATTATGAGATATAATTTTTCGTTTTTGCTCTCTTTTTCATTCATGTCTAAAACAGGTACATAAATATTTCGACCACAAATCGTCCGAATGGAATATCCTTGAGTTTTTAAACGAATGCGAGGTAGAATCATTCGATCGAAAGATATACTGTTACATTAAGGACTTAGAAGACATTTCTAATTATGAAACAGGTGGCAGGTGCGAAAAAGCATAGATATTGCTTAATAACTATAGGGAGGCGAGTAGAGTTTTTATCATTATATTAAATTAAATATAGTAGAAATTTGGTTATGTTGCAACAGCTTGCTAGGTCGTACTGCTACGAAACACAGACGGCTTGCTAGGCTGTCTGTCGCTCAATATTTCGATATTCCGCCAGGGCTCAGGTGGCTTGCTAGGTTGCCTGATGTTCAAAGGCTGATAGCTGATTTGGTGGGATGGTTAATGAAGGAAATTTCAGATAAATCTGTCAAGAATATTGCTAATCAGCTAAACCTTTCATTTTAGGACATTCGGCTAGATTATCATCTAGCAAAGGCATGGGAAAAGGGACGATCGTATAATCAGGTTCATTACCACCAACCGACATTTATAGATGGTGGGACTAAAGAGAAAGGTAACTTTAGCACAGAAAGTTTCATTAGCTGATAAAGTCAAGATATTTTCTCTTGAAGCTAAGCTAGTTGAATTGGAAGGTAAGTTGCTAAATCTGAAACTAGAACGTGATTCGTATATAGTAGGAGAACTACTAGAGGAGCTGGCCCAAATAGACTCATCTGCAATAGAATCCCTCAGGCTCGAACTGGAGCGAGCGAATGAGGGCCTTAATTCAAAAAAACATGAAATAGAATGTATGGAAAAGGGGATAGAATCATCAAATAACATATACAATTAGACGATAGATTTTTTATTTTCAGCACAATCAAATTTACTCGAGAAAAACGCTTATCTTCAAGAATTATTGTCGAAGAAAGAGCCGAAAGACGCTTCACATAATGAAGTAGATACTCCACTCCTGCCTATGAATAATTCGTCACAACCTTCTGCTCTTAATTCTCCTATATTCCAGACAATTTCTGTGAGTGGCACAGAAGTAATGCCATCAGCCCAAGTAATGCCTTTAGTACCAGCTATTCCTGTCATTGCGAACTCCTTAATGTCACTATTGATAACATATATCATACTTACTTTACTACTTTTTGCAATTATATGGATCATTGGGAAAAAAATATGGAATTTATGGAGCGATAAGCTGAAAGAAAATAATACCAAGTATTCTCTTAATTAGAATTATTTTTTATCATCTCCAGGTATTTTCAAGGTCAGGCTATATGATCAGAGACCAAAAGTTTGAAGTGATCATCCTAGGTCAGAAGTTCGAAGATAGGAATTGAAGTTAGCTGGTATTCTTACCCAAGAAAAATATGTAAATAAATATTATGCGAAGCGCTTTAACGGCTAAGTATTCTAGCGGAAATGTAGCAATTTCAGCTAAGAGTATTTAATCATATAGTTAGGTAGTTTCAAGCGAATTCTCAAAATATTTAGAAAGTTTTATTGAAGACTCTTAATATATTTTATAAGCCAATTTTTTGCCTTTTTCTGTGAATATTTATCAATCTGCTTTTTCCTTATATCTGAATCTTTAATCTGCATTATTTTATCTAATGAAGGTGGTAGAAACATATTATTCTCATTGATAAAACGTGCATACATTTCTACTGTTTGTTCTAAATAGTGTCTGATATCTATCTTCATATTAAACTCTTTTGCAATTTTTGAAAACTTCATGTAATCACCCTTTCTTGTCAATTTTGAACCATCTTTTTTATAACAAGGGCTGTCATTCATAATGATATAGCTAAAGCGTTTACCAGAGTCAGGGATCTTTATATTTTTTTCTTCGCTTGCTATTCTTTCTTTCATCCGCTCTATAAAGATTTTATCCATTTAGACATTACAATAAACTGATTAAAATTCTACTGCTTAAATCTAGCATTACAGAGAGCGTCTTCAACAATTTTACGAATTAAACGTGTATTATTGATACCCATTGCCTCCACATAATCTTTTCTTCGATAAACCTGAAGAGCTTAGAATTCCCTTGCTTTACAGTATCAATTCCTCTCATAAAGAGATCATCTAGCCTAAAATTAATCACATCTTCATGTGATATACTGAAATATTTTTCTTGCCAGCAAAGCAGACAGGAAATAATACCTTTTCATATGCTAAGGTAAGATGTGCCATTCTTTATCTCAAGATAAGCATTTACTTGATTACGTAAGCTTTTCATCACAATCATAGTAATATTGACCATTTCAGTCCAGTACACTTCTTTAAAAAGATCTTTTCTGAAAAAGGCTTCATCGCATTTTTCATAATACTTATTTGAGCAGATGAGATACAAAGAATTGGTATCACCATATTTTATCCTAAACCTTTTTTTTGTTACGAATTCTACGACAAGATTAAGGTTATATTTTCCTGCTGAAGTAGTTCCTCCAGCTAATTCACAAAGAAAGATTGGAGATTTTGAGTTACCTGCCTTCCCATAAAAAGTGTTTATATATAACTTTAAAGCTTTTTGCTTTGAATCCCAATAATCATAATCAAAACATACGGATGAATATTCTGAATTTAAGCTTTCTGGAACCCTTTTGCCTCTTTTTTTAGCTAAACTTATTATCTTCCCAAGATGTTGCTTTTTCTTTCCTAATGGAGCTAGACGTGCTTTAAACTTCAGCTTTTTGTTAGATAAATCCTCTAATACAACAGGAACTAAGCCTTTCTTTTCAAATTTATTGTTATGTCTTACACTTCTAGCTTAGACAGTGCAGTTATTGAATAGAAACTCAATCTTATATAAAATGTTTCCATTTTTTTCCGCAATATCAGCCTCTTCATATGTTAGTATTATTTTATCTGAAGAGAAATTATAAGCCATGATGAGACTAGGATATAATGAGGCAAAGTCCAATCCCATTACAAATCTTTTCGTTTTAATCTCCTTTTAGGTAGAAAAATATACGCACTAGGATATTTTCCTTTTTCTATATTTTCACATACTCTTGAGCTAAATATCATATCACGTTTAAAAGCATAAGCGTCCAGAAGGTTTCGTATCTTCATTCTATTTGCACGATAGTGTGAGTTGAACAAAGATACATGAGCTATGAAAGTGACTCCTCTGTAATCATTTATTTGACTTAGCTTTACAAAAGCTCCTGGTAACGTAATACATCTATAATACAATAATTAGTTACTTCTCGCATTTTTCTCGCAGTTAAAGAAGAAGGGTCTTTTTTGCCTCTGAATAGATTCTCCACATTTTATCATATGGCATGTCAGCTTTAGTATCGAGGTCACACTTTTTTAAGAAGAATTTAAGCGACCTTTTCTCTTCGACTTCAGAATGGGAGTAATATCTCCTGAGACACACTCGAATGTCAATTGGTATGCAACCTGTAGGGTTGGTAAAAATCCTAATTGGTTCTAATTGGTCTTGATTAATTTTAAAAAAATTATTAGTTATAAAGATTAAATTTTTTTAAATATTATCATTATATTCAATTTTTTAATTAAAGTTACTTATTAAAATAAGTTTAAATTTCTTTTTAAAATTTAAAATATCTTTAAAATTTTAGATCTAGGACCTAGATCCTAGGACCAGGTCCTAAATTAAGTATATTTATTATTTTTAAATAATTTTTTTATTTTAAATTAATAAAATAATTGATATATAATAATTATTAAAAAGATTAATTTATTATCAAAAAATTTAATTAATACTATATAAATTAAAATTTATCTTTAAATTCTTTAAGACCAATTAGGGCTTATTAGGACTTTTACCAATCCTAGCAACCTGGCAGTTTAAGAAAACTGGAAAAGAAATCCTCTTTTGCAGTAATTTTGATCTTAATTGCTCCCATATAATCTTTCTTTTTCTCGACTTCCTTACCTGATCCCCATATAGTTCCTTCTTTGTCTGTATCCTTTTTCTTTCCTTTCATCATGAAATTATTTTCAGATTTCGCTCCTATCTTTTCACGATATTTCTATTTTAGGATTTCTTCTTTTGTTTTGAACTTTCCTATCATTCACTCCCACATCCATTCGAATATGTTGAGATGATATGCTCTCTCCATAATAAAATGCAAATCATAGTCAGAATTATTAAATCCAACTTGAATGTCAGGGCAAATGCTCACCAGCAGAAGGCAAATGCTTTTAGCAAATTTACCTGATTTCCACATATGATTGTAACCTATCGTGGGTTTGGTGCAGTTTCAAGATCAATAAGACAGATTTGTTTTAATGGTTTTGGATCATCTTTCCAATGTAATATTATGCTAATTATAAAGACCTTGTTTTTCTGTTCAAGAACTTCTACAAATTCTCCTATTTGTGAGGCATATGTTTCTATATCCCATGTAAGGACAAGAGTGCGATCTCGTAAGAGCTAAAATGGGGAATCAGTCACTTATTGTTGTGAAATCCTCTAATGAACAGAAATCTTTTATAGACACAAAGAACTCGTGTAGACAAAGTGGACTGGTCTGCATACCTTTCTTACATATATATTTGTTTATAGTAGACCACCCAGAGAGTTGGATTCCATTTTCTCGAGCTACCTTTCGGTGAAATGAGTATAAATTGTCTGAAGCAGTTTTGAAATTATTTTCTTGGATAGCTTGGATGGCTTTCTTTCTCTCTCCAGTACAATTCGTATAAATTCATAAATATGACTTTTTTTCAGTATGATAACTCCGAAAAGGGAATGCTTTAATGTGTTCTATTTTATATGATTTCACAATGCTAGAGAGAATTTCGCTCACCTTTTCTTTGCATTTATCTGAAGTCTTTCCTCTGGTATAAGAATATCAAAGAAAATCTGAATGTCTATAAGAGTTACCAGTATCTTTTGGCTATTAATAAGATGACCATAAAGATGCAATACATAGCGGCAGTGTTGTCATAGGACATTTTTGGGACATGGCCTGGGACATTGGGACTTAATATAGGACATTTTGGGACATAGTGTAGGACAGTCTCAAAATGTTTGGAACATCAAAAATGTATATCACTACATAGCGGTACATTCCATTTATTCTTTCTGTTGATCCTTCATTTTTAATGGCCATGAATGGAATTTCTTGTCGTTTAAATAAAGCATTCTCAAGTATTGGAGTTAATCCCTCATCATTTCCTGCAACTATATTATTTAGTGTTGAAAAGCCTAACAAGTATTTTTCACCAAAATAGCGAATTACTTGGGCTTTCATTTTATCTTTTTCAGCCTCTAAGTAAAAAAGGGCGGGGCGTCGAGGAACTCTGAATGCTCTGATTAGGTCATGATTATACATGAAGTCGAAATGAAAACCTAAAGTCAAAATGTTTCGACTTTGGAGGTCAAAATCGAAATGAAAAGTCAAAATAGTTGAAATTGCATCATATCACATGATTTTTTATATATAGAAAAAAATAAAAAAAATAAAAGATGTACAATCTCAGTCAATATCGCTCCGATTCGTATGAAATAACTACCATTCGATTCCTCGTGACTAGACGAATCCAATGAGCTAACATACATTGACATTGGATCATCCAATCACGAAATACTCGCAATTGTATTATAGGCCAAAATTATAAATCAATAAATTCTACTTTAAATAAAGGAGTCTGAATTTCAAAATACAATCGCAAATATCTCGAGATGAGATGATCCAAATTCAATGAATATTAGCTCATTGGATTCGTCTAGTCGCAGGGAATTGAATGGTAGTTGTTCATACAAATCGGTGTGATATTGACCATGATTGTACATCTTTTGTTTTTTTTTTCTATATATAAAAATCATGTGATATGATGCAATTTCAACCATTTTGACTTTTCATTTTGACTTTGACCTCCAAAGTCAAAACATTTCGACTTTGGGTTTTCATTTTGACTTCATGTATAGTTATGATATTATATCACAAATATACAGTTCGAGAGAAAGTATATATTCTGGAAAAAAAAGTTTAAAATGAAAATTAATTCTAAAATATATAAATCGATACATAAATCAACTATTTATAGTTATTAATAATGGTATTTTATCAATGTACTTATATTCACAGGAGTTGTGAGATTTGGAGATGCTATCATCCGAAAGGATGTCATATTCATCGTAATTCTTCTTCTCAGATATCTTGCAATGAATATGGATGCAATAAATTAACTTATGGCGGATATGGATTTTGTGATATTCATACTAGAAAGCATTGTAAAAAGGAACAATATCATCAGAAAAAGCTAGCTGATTTAGCTTCAATGTAGGAAGTGATAGGTAAATAGATGAAAATAGAAGCGATACAAAATAATATAACTTAGCATGAGTGTCAATAAAAAAAAAGCTGGTGATAGAACTAGTAACACAAACGATAGTTTCTTTGAGGATTCTAGGCTGAAAGAAAATTTTCTTAATAGATGACACCAGTGTCACTAATTTCACTGGAAAAAATCTGAAGTTCTCACTTACATTTTTATTTTTGTCATGAAAAATTCCTATGATATATCATACATATACTATACTATAATATATATATATCATAAAAGATAACATAGAAAAATTTGATTTTTTTTCTAAAATTTATTACTCTTTTACTAGTAACTCTAGTAACAGTAATCAAAAAAGAAACGAAATAGCCTAATAATCTCAAAGAGCATAACAAAGGTGTTACCAGTTCTGTCACCAGTTAGTATACTCTAAGAATAGCCAAAATTATGCCATAGTATTAGCTAAATTAATAATAAATTTAACTACATTGTGAATTTTCTAATATTGAAAATACGTAAAAAATAATTATTCCAAAGTACAGCAACAATGGAATCTGAAAACTATCTATTAAAATGATAAATCTCTGATATGCAATTTGAGCTTACGTTTACTCGTAAGGTTTTAAATATGCAATTGGAAATAGATTCATTAAAAGAACAAGTTAATGAGCTTAAAAATGAAAATACTAGACTTAAAAATGTGACTAGCTGTCAGGAGATTGAAAAGCAGAATAAAATAGTAAGTTCTAGTAAAGTGTCTTATTCTAATACTGATCAATTCATAATCGATTATATTTCAACATGGCCTGAAGACATTCTTTGTAAATAAATATATTGCGCTACTTTATATCAGGATTATCTTGCTTGGTATGAAAAAAATAATGAGCAAGCATTAAGTAATAATTATCTTGGTAAAAAATTCTTACAAATGGAGATTGATTATAAACAGGTACGAGTAAGTGGTGGTAATAAAGAATGGCAATATAAATTAGACCGATCTAAAATCATGAGTAAGATACATGGTATAACTGATAGCTACTAATATACAGTATAGTGCTGACATTAGTACCGGGTACTATTCAAGTAAATCTAAGCTTAATTTTGAATAGTACCTGGGGTACTACATTCGGAAAAAGATACTACATAAGGGGATATTATACAACAGAAATACAATAAAAGGGGGATATTAATCATGATTGTTGATCATCTTTTTTTACTTTCAAATTTTTAACATTTCTTTGAAATAAAGCCATAATATGTTATATGATATGAATGACACGAATTTCATGAATGACACAAATTTCACAGATAACGCGATCAGAATTTTATTTATTTTAATTTTGGTCTTTTTTTTCGACTTTAAACCTTTTTTAGTTTTTTTGTCCTTATAATCACAACATAAATTGCCATTTCTTTACAACTTTATCATAAGTAATATGGGTCCGCACGCAAATAAAAATACCAACCATGCAAGAATATCAGAAAAAGTATGAAGAGTATGGAATGTAAGAGAAAACTTGCTGTTGTTATGTATCATGAAAAGGGACATAGTAAAAATGAAACAGCAGCTAAATTTAATATTGAAATCAAACAAGTTCGCGACTGGGTATCTAAAAAAAAACAATTTATGAAAGCACAATCTAGTTTAAAACATTTAAATAAAGGTAAACCTCCAAAATATCCAGCTTTAGAAGTAGCTTTAGTTGAGTGGATAAAGGAAAGAAGAAGTAACCAGCAAGCAGTTTCTCAAAATATGATTCAAGTAAAAGCAAAAACTTTAGCACAATAACCACAATGGCAAGCATCCTGTCCTAATGTACAATCTTTTGCTTTTAGTAACAAATGGTTGGATGGTTTAATGAACCATAATAACTTAAGTAATCATCGTTATACTACCATCGCTCATCATTTACCAAACAATTTATATGAAAAACAACAAGAATTTTTAGCATTTGTTATGTATAGGCGAATACAACATGATTA